AGCACAGATGAACGCTGTGCCAATGGCAGAGTGCAAATAGTAAAGTCGGGTCATGGTCCACGGCATCATCGAATGTGCGGGCATAAAAGGGTTAGCTGCAAGATCGGCACCATGCCTTTCAATCACAAACTGGACTTACCTTAAATGCAGCGGGCGTTCAAAGGACCCCTACAGCTAGTACGTGCAGAGACATCAATACCAGCGTTGGTGTCAAAGGTTATAAATGAGTAAATTTAAAGAACGAGCAAGAAGGAAGTCGTGATTACCAGAGAACCAGGGAATGGCTGCCCACTCCAGAATTCCTGCCTGGAGCATCCCACGGACAGAGGAGCCTGGTGGGCTACAGCTCATGGGGTCGCAGAGAGTCAGACACAGGAAATCACGACTGTCAGCTTTTCGTGTCTGGGTTGCCTGTGAACCGGGCCTCCCTGGCGGCTCTGACGGTGAAGCAATCTGCCTGCAGTGCAGGAGACCCAAGTTCCGTCCTTGGGTTGAGAAGAGCCCCTGCAGAATAGCTACCTACTCTAGAATTCCTGCCTGGAGAGTTCCAATAGAGGAGCCCGGTGGGCCCCAGCCCATGAGGTCACAAAGAGTTGAACACGACTGACCAACTAACACTTTTCTTTTCACTTATCAGTAAACTTGACTAGTTCAACCACAATGCAGTTTTGTTCCTTAATAAACCCACTTGTGTCCAAGGTCTCAACTCAAAAAAGAATGTCATTCAGAGGTCACTTAAGGGCCAAAGTGGGGGCTCATTTGCCCATACCCAACCATTCCCTTTGCGATTCGGATAAGTCAAAGGAAAAGGGCGGAATCCCCATGGCACTGCTTTAAATCTCATCAGAATCATCTGGGGAGCCTTTAAAGGGAGAAGCCTCCGTCTCACCCTCAGATACGCTGATTCAGTTAGACTGGGGGTTCAAAAACCTTGGGCATTTATCATTTTTCAGAGCACACCAGGTGTGAACAAAGGTGAGAATCACATTCTAGTAGGAAGTTGGCTGGCTTCTCATCACTCCAAAGATGAATGATCTTGGCTGAACTATAGTTAACAGGATTTTCAGCAATGCTCTCCGCCAACTTTCAGAAACATAAAAGCTCCACTCTTCTCACAATAATAATGGGGCCCTCCCTGAATGTGAAATTACAATTTTAATAGGTGACTACTTGTGGTTAATACTACCTGAAAAGGTGGAGAAATGCCAAAATTGAGGTATCCATGGTTGCTATTCTGAGAACACTCAAAACCCACAATCCTTTTAAAACTGGGGGATTTCCATTTCTGTCCTCCTCATTCCCCCTCCAGACGCACTTACAGATGAATAAAAGATGGGAATCAAGAAGACTGGCAGGAGTCCTGGTTACCATGGCAGCAAGCAGATGAAATGCCACAGCTCATGAAACTGATAGTGAGAGCAGGCATCAGGTGGACAGCATGGAGCGGCACCTGTCTAACTGACTGCTCTCCTTCATGCACAATTCAGAGCACGGCCTTCGCCTTATATTTCAACCCGTTCAGGGAGCAGGAGGGGGATGCAGCACTGGAATGACAGAGAGACCAGGGAGGTAAGAATCAGCAAAGGACTCTGATAGCAGAGAACAAGGATTATAAGAGTTAGTTTAGCTTCCGTGAGCCTTCTATGTGTCACTCTATGTATGGGTTTAGCAAAAATATCAGCCGACCGGTTTAAGGGAAATTTTTTAAAAATACGCCTCAAAAAGAGGCAGAAACGCAGGCTTTGGCAAGAGAGCCAGATTTACGTATCTTGCTGAACAACGGACCAAAACCATGACTATCCTGCAGGAGTGCTTAATTCAAGAGGTGAAAGGAAGGTTCTTATGAGACTACATTGCTCCAAAGAGAAGAGAAGAGAAAGAGCTTAAAAGCACAGAGGAATTCAAGAAATCAAAGCACCCTTTGAGAGTCAGCTACTTCCAAGGAAAAGTGTGCCTTTCTTTCCCTAATCCTGTGTGTCAGTCTCTCACTTCACATATATCTTGCGAGTGCCATTATTCAGGACACCCTCTTCCCCAATCAAGCCTCTTCAAGGTGGCTTTCTGTTCCATCGTCACCAGATGCTGGAGATTCAAAGAACCTGGCACGCGGGATGCAGTCGACAAATGTCTGATGAATACGTACATCAGAGAATACGTGGAAAGATAGATGGAAGTTACTAACTATATATTATTCAACTAGAATGGAAAAATGGCTTCAACTAAAAAATGAAATAAAATGCAAGGAGAAAAAAGATCTTCACTGCAAAAAGGAAAAGGGCACACACACACATGTATACAACTATACATTATATACATACTGTATGTATGTAAAGGTAGATACGCATAAGAGAGTTAAGCATATCTTGTTAGTCAAAATCAGAGATGTACAGTCAAGGAACTAGGAACAAACAGGTGGAGGGTGGAAATAAAGACACAATGGGAGACTCATAAAGGTGCCTCCAAACTCCTGAAGATTCTTGGAATGCAATAAAACCAGTGGACATTCAACTCTTAGAGTGTACCAAGAGAACATTACAGCAGAACTCCAAACACCCATGAAACACCCATGAAAACTACTGTTAATGAGTCAGCAAGCCCCATGTAGAGACAATAGTATTTTACAGCGTATCTGCTATAGGATATGACAATAAAATCTCAAATGAGAGCTAGAAGGAGTAAAATCCAAAGTTAACGACAGACCTCATTCTGTTGTATTTTTTCCCATCAGCCTAAAACCAGCAGCATCTACCCTGGAGCACTGCCTTCAAACTTGGAGGTCACACATAAAAGTTGTCTAACTCTGAAGGTAAGCAGAATTTCTCAGCTCCCACTGTGCTTCTGGTTGACACCAGGTTCTTTTAGGATAAGGCAGAAATGGGCAACAGGCCCTGAAATTTCGAGCTTCAAAAGCTAAGAGTGAATAACAGGATTCCCCAGCAAGTTGGGAGGACTCAACAGAAGCATATTACACCCCCTCTTGAAAACCTATGAGAACTCCTGTAAAACAGTGTTGTTGTTAACACACAACTCTATGAGAATGAGGGAGAGGAGGGGAAAACAGCAATATGACTTTAGGAAAAAGAAAGCAAGTGGAGAAAAAGCACCAGGGGGGAAAATCAAGAGTCAACCATGTTTACACTGTAGAATTCCCCCCAAAGACGTGGGGACTGGCAACACTGAGTACAGCTCTGAAAATGGGGGTGAGTTGGAAATGAAAATAAAATTGCTTGAAAGTTTATGGAGTAGTTGGACCCCTAGATGCATGTTTGGAGGCTGATTCTCTGGAGTGGATAAAACAGAGAAGTACATGGACTGGAGGACCCAGGCACAGCTGTAGGAGGCAATATCATGCACACTCAGTTGTGTCTAACTCTTTGCAATCCCATGAACTGTAGCCCTCCAGGCTCCTCTGTCCAGGGGATTCTCCAGGCAAGAATACTGGAATGGGTTGCCATTTCCTCCACTAAGGGATCTTCCCAACCCAGGGATCAAACCCACATCTCATGTTTCCTGCATTGTCAGGCGGATTCTTTTACCACTGTACCAGTAAGTACTCAAGAAACAATGGAACGTGCCACAGAGAACACAAACTAGCCTGAAGGGACACCTGCTAGCTAAATCTGACAACATCGGAGAAAAACAATGACAGTAATGAATCATAACCTACTAGACAAGGTAATACATGAGTTCAAACTGATAAATAAATGGGAAAAAGAGGAAATTCTTGATTTCAGTATAGTTAGAAAAAAGAAAAATCACTGTTTTACACCACCACAGGAATAACTTGCTCAGGCAAAAATTATCAGTGGATGCTAAAACTATGGGCTAAAGTTTGATGAGGAATAGTACATTACTTATGTGAACTCTGTGAAAGCCACTCAGTCATGTCCAACTCTTTGCGACCCCATGGTCTATATAGTCCATGGAATTCTCCAGGCCAGAATACTGAAGTGGGTAGCCTTTCCATTCTCCAGGGGATCTTCCCAACCCAGGGATCAAACCCAGGTCTCCTGCATTGCAGGCGGATTCTTTACCAGCTGAGCTATCAGGGAAGCCCAAATTAGAGTTTATCAGGGAGATAAATGCAGTTATCTCCCCCACAACTTACTTATTACCAAAAGGGAAAATGTTAACTAGACAGTGGAGAGACATAGTAGGTAGCACTTGAATCAAGTATCAAAGTTAATGTCAACAATAATGAGACAACACATCACACGCCTCCCAATGTGAGGCTTTGTGGACCTATTATTATTGCTTATGTTGTAGTCAAAATGTAGCCCAAAATGCAGTGAGTCAAGTCATGAGAACAGCCCTAAACAGGAGTGGAATTCACGAAATGACTGGCACCTAAACTTCAAAAATATCAGTACTACAAAGACAAAAAGAACAGCTGAGAAACAATTTCAGACTAAAAGAGATAGACATTAAAGCTAACTGGTTTCCAAAGTTGAAAAAAAAAAAACCAGTTGCTATAAAAGACATTTAACAGAGTAACATCTAAATAAAGACTTTAGATTAAAATATTTTATCACTGTTTTCAGATTTTGATAATTATTTTATGATTATATGGGTGACTGTCCTTGTTTTAAGAACTATATCCCCAAGTACCAAAGGGTAAAGGGGAGTGAGGTCTGCAACTTATGTTTTCAAATGGTTCACGAAAGTGATGAGAGAAATGACAATGCAGCTGCGGCCAAATGTTAACTACTATAAATCTGGATGAAAATGATTCCTGGGTTCTTCACACTATCATTACAACTGTCCTACAATCTGCAATTATTTCAGAATTAGAAGTGAAAACACTGAGCATATTTTTATTTACTCCATGTTCTATATTCTCAGTTAATACTTGCTAGTCCATGCTTACCAAGGTAAAGAAGAGCAAAAAATGGTAGGAGAAATGCACTGGAACCCTTTATGAGCCAAGAGAAAAGGAACTGAGACACAGCCTCTTGAGGACGGACATGTGTGTTCGTACTGAAAATACTCAGTCACAGAAATGTAAATTTTTCATTTTATTCAAAGTCGGTACAGAAGTGCTAACGTTTCCATAAAATAATTACTATACTTCAGTTACAGGACAAAATACCACAGAAAGGAATATACTTTGCAAGAAATGTAGTTCATCTTAAGTTTCCAAATACTTTTAAAGGCTAATGCAGCAGCTGGCAAAATAACACACAGTACACAAAGAACAGTGTATTTTACAGAGTCAGTAATGAAAACTGACAGCTCTTTAGCAGATTTGCTTAATTTTTTTTCTTTTTAAAACAATAACACTTTTAAAAACACATTAAACCAAGATCATACACGTCTACAATTTAAAAAATCAGATTGTATACAATAGGTTAGAATAGTCAAGTTAGAATTGTCATGTATGGTTAACAATCCTAAATCTACAATTTCAATTGTATGCCTTTCAATATGGAAGTTACCTGGTTTATACCAAATTCTACTTTCTGTTCGCAACTAAAACATTGTACAATGAGATGGACTTGATAAGTCAAACCTTAAAAAAAAAAAAACACACTGCAGACAATGAAGCGTACACTGGAAATCAGTTTACAAGTCAAAAAACTCACCAATAACTCAACAACTTCATTTAAGATCACATTTGGTCTACAATGCGTAAGTGACAAAACAATCCATGTATACAACACACACCCCAGTGCACAGACTGGGCTCTCACAGAACATGTGAACAAAGCTTTAAGAGGCAGGACGCTGGGAAAAACATTTTTCAATGTAGACATCTGTTAAAAATGCGTTAATACTTACATATCAAAATTACTAGATAGAAGGCAGCAGTACTCTGCTGACATTTGGCTTAAAAATAAAGGAATGAATGAAGCAATTTCACAGGATATTATAAAAGGAATTGGTTTTCTTCTTGAAGAAGACTACTAACTTTTGCACAGCAACTATTTTTGATATCCACCTTATCAAAAAAAAAGGAGCAGCAGCAGCAGCAGCACTGAGAAACATAACATAGCTCATGTGTGATCGCCAACACAGGTCCAGGCAACAAAGACGGGATGTCCAAGCAAACAAAGGGTGCATCCTCACTTCATCTCTGAACTGTCGGCAACCCATCAACTGAAGCGACAGTGGTGGGGGAGCAGGGCAACAGATTCCATACCATCATCTGACACGAATGTAATAGGTCATTATTTAAAAAGAAAGTAATAAAGCTTTTGCATTTTAACAACCCCACAGAAAAGTTCATGAGCAAAAAAGACTAGTTGATCTGTTTGCCACTCAAAAGAGATCTCACAGTGAAATTAGAAAGTTCTAATTGTACATATTTACACTGCTACAACCACGTTCACCTAGACTAATTAAAGCAATTTTTCATGGAAATTAGAAATGAAAGATATTCTGCCAAAGGAATCTTCAAAAGCATCCTTTAAGTTCTTAAAAACTAATTAGACTTAAAAACAAAATTTAAAGGTACAGAGCACATTCTATATAGTATATAGGACTAACAGGTTATTACTGCTTTGCCTTATCACGCATGGCTAAGCCAAAGATGTTCCTCAAACTTCTCCTTTCCCCTGTATTTCTCACTCCTCTCCTCAACTCCACCAAAGCCTGAGGTGCTACACTCTCAGAAACTGCTGTAGGGACACACTTGCTGGCTTTCTGCTGTAGGCCATACTCTCTCCCTCAAAGTGCCCAGGTTCATTCTTCTAAACCATGTTCCATCAGTCTACACCATCAGTCTACACCAGCTCGAATCTTCATTCCATGTTATTATTAAAACTGACTATCCCTAAGATAAACATATGAAACAGAGAGTGGGAAAAAGGTAGTCACTTCTCTCCATTCTGAGTTTTCCTATCTTTTGACATATGGGCAAGATCCAAGAGAGAGATGTATTTATTCATTGCTGATAAACAGGGACTATTCAGATGAAGAAAGTTGAGGAGTAAAATAAGGGCAATGCTGAGTGCAAAAAAACACATTTTTTTCTTCTTTTGCAGGCATATTCATAGATTTCATCTAATCTAGTCTTGTAACGAAACAGGCAAAAGAATCCTTTAGACTCTTACAACCAATGTGAAAAGCAAAAAGTAGTTCCATTTGGCAGATGTCTCACTTTGTTTGATGCTTATGACACCTGGATCGAATTCTGCTCTATTAAAATGAAGGGTAGCCAGGCATATGAAAAAATAACTTAAGCTTATTAAACTTACACGAAGATTAAAGATTAGTATTTGCCCTATTAAAATGTGAGACTTCTCCATGCTCTCAGGGTGCTATTGACGGGGGGGTAAAATTTCCTATAGATCTATGATTAAAAAAAATAACCCAAAGGCTCTACAGCTTAAAGCCGAAGTTTGTCAAAATGTTCCACCCACCAGAAACCTAGAAGTCTGTTCCTGTTTCTCCAGTTTGATTGTAGGGAGGAGCCCACAGTGCCCGTCTGAGCTGGTGACCCCCCAGCACAACTGCAGCAGTCTTGACAGTAGTACCGTCTCCTCCACCAAAGCAGCACACAGGTCCTCAGACTAGAACACTGACTCTCTTATGACTGAGGACCCCCGACTCAGGCACCTCTCACTGTCCGGGGCTTGCAACACTGTGGGGCTCGTCCTGACAACTCCGGAGATGACCCATGGCGGGCTTTTTATGCCGGGCACTTGTGGGATACTGAGAATACTGTTAGTCTTGTGCTTTCCACATGTGGAGTTACACACATGAGGGAACATGGTTTTGTGCTTTCTGTAAAATTTACTTTAAGCTTTTTTCTTATCATGGAATGTGAAACTCTTGTCACATGTATGTTCTCAGATATGCCTACCCAACCTACACTGGAAAATGATAAAAGTTAAGACATATTCACAGAATAAGTAACCTTGAATCTTTAATTAAGGATATAAAGGAAACAAACACAGATGAATAAATAACATTTAAGCTGCAACACAAGCTAGACCTACCTGGTTCTTTGAACCTAAATAAAGGCTGCACGTAAAATATGTTAGTATAAATGTATTTTCTTCACTAGTCATAGCAAAATTTAAAAAGAGGAATTGTATAAGAGTTATGTATCAAGAAAGGGAAAGGTGTGAACTAGCAGATTAAATATCAGCAACCAGAAGGCACTAATCAAAACATAAATTTCAGAAGCTGATTACATTAAGGAATACCCTACAGAATGGCCTGTGCCAATTTGGGATTTCAATACTCTAGATAGCAATGAGCTTAATTTCAGTTTCTTACTACTAAAACAAAAAAGTGAGTTATTAGTGAATATTCCACTTATAGAGGTATAGGCGACATTGATATACTGAAAAATTATCCAGACAAGTTTGTCCAGAGGCAATAAAAAAAAGTAAACACTCCTTTATCCAGCAGCACTAGGGGACAAGGTGAATTTATCAGGGTCAAAACAAGTCTCCAATAAAGATGTGGGTACCTACTCTCAAACTGTGCTGTTGCCGAAATCACTAAAAAATGTACTTCCCTCAATGATAAGAGTTCACTCTCTGTAAGCTGTCTTTCGAGGGGGGGTGGTTCCATCATCACGGCAACAATCACAACCCAGGGCTTCTCTGAGGAGAACAGGGCACTGCGCCTACACTAACAAGAATCTGAGACCACTGTGCTTTGTCTTATTTATTCTAGCATCCCTCTCCCCAAACACACTATAAATCCAGATAACCAAATCGAACCTCAAGTCATTACATAAATTAAGGTTACTGGTTTAAGTCAAGTCTCAGATATGGTCCTCCCTCCAAAAAGTAAAGTGCATGAGATGAGAAATGATGCAGATACATCAAACCTTTGTGTTTATTTCTGAACAAAAGACTACATGCCAATGGTTAAGGCCATTAGTTACCAGATAAATGGGGTGCTTAACCCGAAACAAAAAGCTAAACCCTATCTTTTATAAAGGATTTGAGATGGAAACAAACATAAATTATATCAATTCACACAACATTCCTTTAAAGGCGAATCAGTAGTTTAAACCCTTATTCCCAGCACTGGAGAGAGAAGTTTAAATAAAAACATTTATACGACAACGTGAATAATGGTGTGAGACTCAGCACTGGCAAAGCCTATCAATTATTTTGAACCTTAGCTAAATTCTGTTCTGCAGTCAAAGTAACTGAATATCTACTCTTCCATCAGAGGTGAGAGTTTGACCAAAATAAACATACCAAATTAAGAGAAGTTAGCTTAATGAAGGAAAAGGGGGTTTGTAGCCCTGAGTTAAGTCATCCAAGAAAACCAAGTGTAGTGATCAAAAGATTACTTCTTACATAATCCAGCTTCACACCTAACTAGTACAAAAGAGTTTCTCTATATGCTGACTAGTTCCAACTTTTTACCTTTAATTGCTGCAACAAGGTTTTTTGGCATCAAAACAAACTCCATTCCTCTCTACATTGCGATACCATCATTTCCAAGGGACTGGTGTACATTTTAACTATTTCTGCCTAATTTTTGAAAAATGAGCTTTGAGAATAAAATTTTGATGAATTATTAGGGCTTTTGTTATTAGTGAACACAAAGTCTGAAAATAAAACTCTGGAGCATCAACAGTTTAAGCTAATAGATATTTTAGTATATTTAAACACAACTACTATTTAGTGAATCATTCTCTGGATCCAGGCCTTCAAATCTGGGGCAAAGCACCACTTTTGCACACCATGGCAATAAGCCTGAAAGTGAATTAAGCTGACAAAAGATCAAAATAGGAATATGTTAAGTGTTCCAACAAAGAAAAAGTGAATAATTAAAGCAATGTGAGGGGAGACAAACCAAGGGGAAACCAGTCTCTCTGAATGTAGGTGGACCCCAACACACAAACAGGAGTAAGTCCTATCGCCGCGCCTGCTCAGGCTAACGTCAACATTAAAAGGACAAGCGACTTAACACCCCACTAATGAGAAATCTTATGAATACTGAAGCCTAGGTCTGCTACACCCAGGTACTTTTCAGCATCTCCTCTAGTAGTTTTTCCGACTTCAGAAAATCTTGTCCTGGCAAGTCTCTGCAGTCACATAATTTAACAGCAATGGCCTTTACACATCTCTCAACCCAAACTCGGAAATGTGGAGGTGTCACTGCTAGATACCCATGTGGTCATTTTCAGCCATCACACCTCAAATGAAAATGACACAGGGGAGTACAGCGTAAGCAAAGTACTGCCAAAGGGGAACATTAATGGGTCTAAGTTTTTAATAGCTAATAATACAGCAGGTCTACAGGGTGGTGAAGAACGAAAGTAACCTGTATTACGTGCTCTCTAAAGAGAGAGGATCCACAAAACCCAATATAGAGACGATAACAATGGACTGAGAAATGTAGAAACTTAAAGATCCTAACCACCCTGGACAAGACTTTCAAGCCCCTACTCAGCTTCAAGTTAGAGAATTGAGTAGCAACCCTCCTCCTCAATTCTTAAAATGTGAAATTTCACGAAGCAACAGGCCCCTGTTAACTACTTTGCGTGCCACTGCTAGTGTTTGGGCTTTGTGACCCAGGCCAGCCTCTCTCTGCAGAAAGACAATGGCGCCTTTGAGCCAAGTGAAAAAGAAGCCTTGGGAGATCAGATCTGCTGGACTGAGGCCAAAGGACACAGCAGCACTGCTACTGCTCGATGCTTCTCTAACCAGAAGATAAGAGTGATAACTTCACTAGGAAAGAAAGGCTAGGGACGAGATTGGCTCTGCTGTTTCAAAAGCCACTTACTATCTCAGGGTAGGACAAAATATTCTTCAACAGGGAAATGAGACGTCCCACAAAGGAACCCATAACCACTCTGTAGGCCAGGGCAACAAGCTCTTCTCATCAGATCTTGAGACGAAGACTGCCTGAGAGGACAAAATCTAAGAACTGGGGCTACCAGATGAGACAGTATTTGTCTCCACCTTGGAGTACCAGTGTCCTCACTTCATCCTGACTCTTAGCTAACTATTTCAGTCAATCACTCTTAGCCAGTTCTCAACCTTAGCTCGAGCCAATAAGAAAATATATACATGTTAACGTCTAGCTATCAATGTCATCATTTAAGACCCATTTAGTGTAAAGTATGACTATTTTGCTAGCTTAACGAGACTACGTATCATTCCATGATCATTCTAATGAAATAAAGACTGAAGAATGGTCCCCTGAAATGAAGCGGCAATCAGGAATTCACATACTCATTCAAGCACATTATCTATTACTGGGAAGCAATAAGAAGGGCAAGCTTCAGGGACTTCAGTCTAATAAAGTGATGTTTACACTGGCAAGAATAAACAATCTTAATGGATATGCTAATAACCATTCCTTATTTACAAACATTAGTACTCTAAACTTGACCTACTGCTATATACACACAAATAAGACACAAGATGATGTATTTTATGTATCATACTAAGACAACAGCAGAGAGAAGGCAGGGGGATGCTGAAACCCCAAACTATTAGGAATCAACATTAAATAAAGGGGGGAAAATCCACTTAAGACACCACCTATTCATTTATGCTTTTAACAGAAGGGGTAAGAAGGCTGCTCAGCCAGTATGTCAAACCTCACTGCTGAGTTACACAGCAATGTGTTCAAAGAAAAATTTTAATTTCTACAACTTAATGGCAATTTGAAAAATCTAAGATCCTATTATTTCCCCAAATACCAAAAGGCTGCCTCAAAAGAAGAACAGTTCCTTTGAGAAGAAGACAAACCATGAGTCCAGATCCGGACACCCGGTTTTCTGCTCTTCCTAACAGACTTTGTAACATTGGCTATGTCACAGCCTCGGCCTCCACTCGAGGACCGTCCTTACTTTCATTTGGCCCCCAGCTTATAAACCTTAAGAATGAAACTAAGAAAAAAATTCCACAAGGCACTCTAATAAGCTTGCAGAAATCATACTATTCAAACACAAATTACTACAGACTCAGTCCATCAGAAAGCCTCCTGGAGATGGGAAGACATTATGCTACCTAATAATTTCTAAAAATCAACTTTGAACTAATTAAGTCCATCATAATGAACTTAATTTACAAATACAAAAAAATTTAAAGTCATTAGGACTGAGTTTTGATTCAAAATCTACAAAAGTATCTAAAAAAGTAATAATTTTCCCCTAAATATAAGGTTAATAAAATCATGCAATTTAAAAAATATCAGAGATTACAGAAAAGTCAAAGAAAGTAGATACAAAATTAGTTTCCTTCATCTGCAATGGAGGAAAAAGGACAGCATGCACAAGGAATGACCTCACGTGGAGAGTTTTTCTCAAACATCTTTTGTACCCTGTCCTCATGAAGGGGAATCCATCTGTGAAAAATGGATTCTCTTCCAAAATGCTGAAACTGGATACCGAGCCATGTCAAGACAGAGGGTCCTACAATTACACAAGTCCTGTAATCTCCACAGGACACACTACTAAACCCGTAGAAGTTCTCTTGAATATGCTATCCATCCTACAGAAAGACTATACTGCAACCCACCAGTGGCAAAGCATGCGCTCTTTTGAGTTTTCTATTACTAATGGCCTGTTTGCATTGAACTATCCTCATGCTCTCACTCACTGTAACTGTTTAAACAAAAATGCAGAGGCTGTGTACATATGTTGTCTTTAAAAAAATATTTGAAAAAAAAACTCACGAATGATACATTATGATCTCAGAATGATATTTTCACTCTAAAAACTCAACTTCAATGTACCACAATCTAATCAAGTGGGGCAACCCACAAAAGCTGAGTCAATTTTTCTTCAAATTTCCGGACATATTTTCCAAATGGATCCACTCAGGAAGGTTAACTGGTTAATAAAGAATGTTACCAAATGACAAGAACAAAGCTAGAGAATTAACAGTGTACGAGGAATCACCTGTTCAGCTTAGCTGATCAAACACTGCTTTAGGGGATGCTAATTTTCAAACTATATAAACGATCTTAACTTGGTCAGTAAATTTGAGGATGATCAGCAATGTTAACTTCATTCCCCCCCCCCCCATAATCATTTACAATACAGTCATGACACACAACTTTATAAAGACAAAACTACTTGGTGGTCATTTGAGTATGGTTCACTTAAACTTCAGAGGAAAAAAAAAGAAAAAAGAACACAAAAAACAGCTGAACTTTTTTCCAACATTCCATATACTGGTGGTACAGGAACAACTACAAGAAAACATTCCTCTTCCTTTCTTCCAGCATACAGAATCCATAGGCTCATGCTAACAGAATGAACCTGGCAAACGAACTTGCCCTGAAACAAGTACTCCACAAACACATGTTAGATTTTCAGTATATAATGGATTATACAATGTACAAATTCAGTTCTTTAAAATGGGAGTAGGGATTACAGAGACAGAGAAAAAACTTTAAAATGAGCAAGTCTTCCATTTCAGGGTAAGAAGGCCTACCAAGATTTGGCAGTGTGGACAGTTATCTTACTCATGACACCTTAGCGTGTGACTCTGCTCTAAGTGCTCTGTGAGAATAATCGGTCTCTCCTTACTTTGGTATGGAAAATTTTAAACCACGTTTGCACAATTCAGTCTTTTTAAACAAGTTTTACTTCATTTAGGTTGAAAATTTACTTTCATCCATCTCTGGGAAAATAAAAGTCTTGCAAATAGATGATTTTTCTGCTAAGTAAAGTTTGGCTAAAACCTACAGCGTAAACAATGCCTGAGAGATGCAACAGTTACATAAGTTTGCAGGGGTTTTTTTTCGTTGTTGTTTTCCAAATACTAGTATTTTCTTAAGTTAGTGTCTCATCATATCCTTAAAAATTCATAAGGAGAAATAAACAAACATGAAAATTCCAAGTGAACACACAGCAAAAAGTCCAATATTGAGTATTACTTTAACTTGTGGAGGTTCTTCCAACATTTGTAAACAAACAGCCTCCTCCTCCATCAGGTCTCTGAGACTCCTCTTGCTAAGGCTCTTACTTTTAAAGCCACAGAACCAATCGACGAACTTCCAGTACCGGCTTCCGTCCTCTGCTTCCTTCTTTCTCTCTTTCTCACCCATGAGCGCTGCCTGCCCGTTAGAATACGCATCCACGGGTGTTTCTGCCTCTGAGTGACCTAAGGAAGCCACTGGGTTGCCCTCCTCTCTGCAGGTCACCAACAGATTAACATCTTCCGGCTGCAGACCCTTGATGCTGTCCTCAGATTTCCCGTTGGGGATGACGTGGTTGATGGCCTCGCTATTCTCGCTGCACCTCAGAATGCTCTTCTCTTGCATTTTGTATGGTTCGTCTTTTGGGGAGCAGCTCTCCTTGACCACCAGGCTCTTCTTAGACCAAAAGGTGGTGGTGCGAATCTGTTCCTTCGTAGGAGGTGGTGTGAGGAGGCTAACAATTACAGTAATGAGTCCTGTGATCCAAAACAACGCTGTGGCCACATACATGTAATGGATATCTTTGATGAAGCCTGGCCTGTTATCAGGTTGGTCACATTCTGGGGCACGGTAGGCAAAGGCCAGTGTCAAGCGGACTGCTCCTAGGATAAAGCCCGCCATTCCACCATAGAAAGCCCCTTGCTCGTTGCAGCGCTTCCAGAAAATCGCCAAAAGGAACAGGGCTGCAACTGGGGGAGTCAGGTAGTCGGCTACCTCCTGGATGTAAAGGTACATCTGGCCTCCTTGCATCTCCACGATGATGGGCACCCACGCAATGCTGATCACCACCATGAAGGCCACAAATATCCTGCCCACAATCATCAGTTCCCGGGAGCTGGCGCTCTTGCGGATGAGTTTGTACACGTCGAGGGTGAATATGGTGCTGGCACTGTTGAAGATGGAGTCCAGATCACTCATCAGAGCAGCGATCATCACGGCCATCATCAGGCCCCGGAGGCCCACGGGAACCAGCTTCATCACCAGGCGCGGGTAGGCAATGTTAGAGCACCCGGCTCTGCTTCCACACACCTGCATGCAGTGCTCGGGGTTGATGCAAGCTATGTCATCAGCAAACAGTATCCGGGAAATCATTCCGGGGACCACTATGATAAACATTGGCAGAAGTTTCAGGAAGCCAGCCATCAGGGTGGAGCCTTTGGCATGAGCAATGTTTTTGGCTGCTAGGACCCTCTGCACGATGACCTGGTCGGCACACCAGTACCAGACCGAAGCTGGGGTCTGACCAAGGATGAATCCAGGCCAAGGAACGTCTTCATCTGTTGGGTTCCGCAACATTTTCAGTGCATCTTTCTTGGGGTGGACATTACAAGAATTTGTGTTGGAAAGGTTGTACGTCAGCAGGATGGAAGTGACATTGGGTGAGGCCAACATGTACCTTCTCTTAACTTCCTCAAACCCGCCAATCTCCATCATGCTAATCACCATAAGTGTGAGTGCCCCAACGATCATGAGCAGAGCCTGCAAGGTGTCTGTGTAGATCACTGCGACAAGGCCTCCGGTGACAGTCAGCAAAGCGGTCATGCCAATGAGCAGGATGACAGACACATAGAGGTTCCAACCCAAAGACTCCTGGATAAAGAGGGCACCCGAATACAGATCCACTGAGAGCTTGGTGAAGATATAGAGAATCAGAGACAACGCTGCGAAATAGACCTGAATCCTATGGCCACCAAATCGCTTGGACAAGTATTCTGGCATGGTGTATACCCCCGACCGGATGTAAATTGGGATGAAAACCCATCCCAGAAGTTGCAAAAGCAGCAAGGCATTGAACTCCCATGCGCCCACTGCAAATCCACTTGCCGCTCCAGATCCTGCCAGCCCAATGAAGTGCTCACTCCCAATATTGCTCACAAACAGAGAGGCACCAATTGCTACCCAGGTCATAGAGCGCCCCGCCAAGAAGTATCCACTCACGGTGCTTCTATTAGATTTCCACATGGCAAAAAAACCAATGCACATGACCAGGATAAAATACAGGGCCACTATGGCAATGTCTGCTGTCTCCAGTACAGCCCTCATGTTTGGTAACTTTGCGAATAAAAACGTCCAATGACAGAAGTGTCCGACTTTTTATTTACTCGTGAGAAACCCCAGCCAAGTCTGGAAACCATACGTGAACTGGACTACACAGAGCAACACAGCAGGTCAAAGTCTTTGTCCTTTGGTTTGCTGTCTTGATGGTGGTGGTTGTGATAAACTTTGAAGGAGACAGTTTAAATTTTCCTCCGCTTCTTAATTGGGATTGAGAACTTAGCTCGTCCTCTTAATCCACTCTCCACAAGACCATCAGCATTTACTCAGGGGCTGGAGGAGACATTCTGAGTTGCAGCTAAGTCTAGTGAAGCCTACTGTACCAACCCTGCAAGGCAGCAAAGACAAAAGACAAAGATTGAATTAGAGGAGGGGCTCACCAAGTGATGAGGAAACTTTCAGTCTAACAAAACGGCGCAACAAGACATTATTAAAAAAAAAAAAAACTTTAAAAATATATATACTTTAGTTCCACAGGAAAGAATGATCCATGCTATCACTTAAAAGTCAGGGAGAGTATTTATCATTTTGAACTGAAAACAAAAATATACTGTCCTAAGTAAGTCATCTAACTTCTCTGGCAACTGACAACTGCCCACCATGACACTGCCCTTTCTTCTCTCACTGTGGTAGTCTCAGACTGGAAAAGCACCAAGGTCATAGAGCAACCTGGGGGAGGGGGACTCTAATCATTCACACTAATTAAGGTCACCTGGGGGAGGGGACTCTAACCATTCACACTAACTAAGGTCACCTGGGGGAGGGGGGACTCTATTTACACTAACTAAGGTCACCTGGGGGAGGAGGACTCTAATCATTCATACTAAGGTCACCTGGGGGAGGGGGACTCTATTCACACTAACTAAGGTCACCTGGGGGAGGGGGACTCTATTCACACTGACTAAGGTCACCTGGGGGAGGGGGACTCTCTTCACACTGACTAAGGTCACCTGGGGGAGGGGGACTCTCTTCACACTGACTAAGGTCACCTGGGGGAGGGGGACTATTCACACTAAGGTCACCTGGGGGAGGGGGACTATTCACACTGACTAAGGTCACCTGGGGGAGGGGGACTATTCACACTAAGGAAACCTGGGGGAGGGGGACTATTCACACCTAACTGAATCTTCAGTCTTCCCAGGTGGCTCAGTGGTAAATAATCCGTCTGCCAACACAGGAGACACAGGTTCGATGCTCGCATAGGGAAGATCCTCTGGAGGAGGAAATGGCAACCCACTCCAGCATTCTTGCCTGGAAAATCCCATGGTCAGAGGAACCTGATGGGCTACAATCCATGGGGTCGCACAGAGTCAGACACGACTTAATGACTAAACGACAACAAAATGAATCCTCAACTACTGTTGAGTTCTAAGAGTAATGTATTTTGTAGCTAAGTTAGGGTCCTGGATAGAACAGGTATTTACTAGGTATTATTATCCACTCCCAAACACAATACCAAGTATTGCTTAATCTAGGTAGGCTACTGTCACAAAATTTCCCTAAATTCCTACTACAAATGTACATCTGTGCTAGTCATCACACATTAACCTAGAAACTGTGACATGACTCCTGCCTTAAAGGGAAACCAGATGTTCCATACAAAGAAACTAGGAACATACAATTTATAAACAACCCTGAATTTTTATTCTGTTAGCCAGAAGGAAGACATTGAAAAAAGTTTTGGGTTTTTTTTTAATGTTAAAGAAAGTAATCTCCTTCCCTTCCAACAGGCATTATTTCCAAGAGATCCTCTGAGAGGATAAAGGCACTAACTCAAGGTGTGATTTTGCTGAATAATTTTTCCTTTTAATGCTTTCTTGTTGAACGGTATACAAAGCAAGGAGAGAAGGGAAAAAGAGAAAATTTTTCTGGAAGACTGAAAAACAACATCATTATTGTTATATCTTCCAAACCTAAACAAAACAGACATCTGTAAGCCATTACGTAACAAATTATTAATCAGATATTTTTATTAATTGTATTAATCAGATTTTTTCCAGTCCTGGATTAAGAAAATCACTGAAAAACAGACATTTAAATTTACCTAAAATTGAGTTTATGAATATGACAGGTTTTCTCCTGGAAAAAGAGAAAAATTCTCAACCTTCAAAGTAATTATAATTGGAACTGAGGAACAATATGAAAAACATTTTGTTATTCAACCTAATGCCTTCCACATGTTAACTCCTGAAGTGATTTCTCCTTTTGAAATAAGGCAACCTCAGAGTGAAACATTTTTCTATGCTTGACAAAGCAGATGCTTTTTGATGAACCGAGATATTTTCCTTTAAAAATCAGTAGCAAAGTTATCAAGTCCTATAAATGATACTAAAGCCACCTCTTTTCAAAACAGACCACAGTACTAGTCACTTAACAACATACCTCTTAAGGAGCTGGGAAAAAAGCTTAAAGATAAATGCTCTACCATATTAGTTATTAAGTCTAATTAATAATACTGACACATAGAAATGTCTTAAACTATTCTCTATGCCTTTTTGAAGCTTAACACACTACAACAACTATACTAAAAAAAACTGACTAAAATCCTTCATCCTAAAACTCAGTGTCAATAATGACTGGCATGAGTAAAACTGCCACAAACAAAAACAAAAATACACTAAAAGCTGGGACTTGTATCACTTTATTCTTGCCAAATCCTGAAACTGGTAGTATTTCTATGACTACTTTCTCTGACCCTGAAACATTCAAGTTATTTTTTTTAAAAACCTGGATATTATTTAGGAAGAATTACCTAAATTTCAAACAAAATCTAATCAAATAACTAATAAGCAATTATTTAAAAGGGCACCTTTAGTTGTTTCACTATGAATTAGGTCCTCAACTACAAAGAAAACTGTAGCTGGCAGTTATGAGATCCTTCCCTGCAGTCAACAGGGCTCCCACTGCCACCCAACATCCAGCCATACCCCTGCCATTCTGTTCCAACTTACACACAGGTAAGCCTAGTTCACTGGTCCGAGGGTCATTTCAAATGTCTCTCTTCTCAATGGCAGTCGTTGGCCATCTTCTCAAGAGAGACAAACACCCAGTGTTTATTTCTGTTTGGAGGGAAGGTGGAGTGGAGTACGCATTGTAGTGGCCACTACAGCAGCTTATTCGTTCGAAGAACAAAGCGCTCAGGCACAAACTAAGCCCTTCCTTCTCCGATCACTAGGAAGCACTGCAAATTGACCACACTGTTCCCACTGTCAAACATGACGCACGTCAGACATCTAAGCCATACTCCACTCCCTGATGAATGCTTAGGCTGGTCTAACCCCTAACTTCCCTACAACAGCAAGCGGGTCAGCTAGGGCAAAGATGTTCTGCCCACAGGAGAGGCGGCAGGGAGAGGGCAAACGCTAGTCAGGGCTTGAGTTCTCAATGCTTTCTCCCTCCTCAGATCCTCCAAAAGCCCCTGCCGGCAGCCCCCATCTCACGGGACACCGTGTCAGTCTGTGGACAGATTTAAGATTTTTCCAATTTAAACAAAAAACATCCAGAAACCAGCACCTAGTAAAGACTGGAAAAGGAAATTAAAATAGGTCAAATCAGTTTATAGAAAGATGTAAAATACTCAACGCAATGCAGCCAAATTCATATCGAGTCATTTAGACTGTCACAGCCTTGAACTTTAGCCTTTCAGAAGATGAACTGTGCAATTCCGAAAAATGGTCTCAAATAAAATATACAGTATGTTTTGCATATTTTCTCACTCTTTTTAATAAGTAAACATTTCTACAACAAAAATATAGTGAACACTATCCAGAGTTCCTTTACTGTTAGAAAGAAGACACATGGAAAAAATTTTTTCTCCAGCTGCTAAAAAGAAGCCTTTTAATTTATGTTTTCATATTTCTAGGACTAAGCTGGTTCACAGTTGAGATAAATCCCTTAAGTGAGAAATGTAGGACAAGGAATAAAGTAGGTATAGTAATGGTAAGTATGTGGGCTGGTTCCCTCGTAGTGCATTTTTAAGAAAACAATTATAATGTAAGTAATAAATAGTCATAGAATGTATAAAGAAATAGTCCCCTAGTTATAATGGCCAGTATAATAAACTTAGCCAACTTGAATCAAACACAAGGGTGTCGTGAAACAGAGACACTCCTCCCAACAGGAGGGGGCTTCCTTCTCAGGTAACAGTGTTTTATTGGGAATTCTGCACAAAATTAGAATACAATCTTGGTAAATGAAAGCACTATTTCATGTACTTGGATGAACGAAATTACAACTGAAGAATTAATCCAGATAGACAAGCATGCATAAATATCTGCTGTTTGAACTAGAAAGAGTAAAATAGGAAAGATCAAATTAACATCAGCTATTAAACTCCTCCAGATAATATAATCAAAACAAATTAGTTATAATGACCAAATCTAACATTTCTCTTCTATTACCTAAGGAGACCATACAATTTATCTTCCAAACTAGGAAGTTATTCTGGGACACTCTGTCCAGAATAGGATGTATGGTCACTCTAAAAAGAAATTCATCTGCCATAAAAACCAAACAAAAAACAAGTAAAACAATCCCTAAAGCCATCAGGGCTCCAAGTCATAATCAAGTCAATGAGGCACGTGGACTGACAAAGAGTAGAACACAACGACTCTCAAAGTGACCAAACCACAATCTTTTTAGCTTTGGGCTCAAAAAGTACAATCTGAACAGGCAGAACCCAGTACTGTCAAAAGTAGGCTTGCCAAGTCTCGTGCATTTTCTGACCCAACGGTTTGATAAGGAGTAAGTACGCCTAGGAAGTTCGTCATCTTGCCCAGTGCAACAGGCAGGTGTTCAGTAAATGTCACTTCACCGTCTACAACTTGCATAGACTGGAAGTGGTGCCATCAGCCTCTTTCAAATTAAACTGCCAACGATACCCCCAAGGCATTTTAGGAGCATCTTGTGCTGTGCTTGCTGCGTGCTTAGTTGTTCAGTCGTGTCCAACTCTTGCGACCCCATAGACTGTAGCCCGCCAGGCTCCTCTGTCTATGGGATTCTCCAGGCAAGAATACTGGAGTGGGCTGTCATTTCCTTCTCCAGTCCAACTTTTTAGGACCCCACAGACTGTAGCCCTCCAGGCTGCTCTGTCCATGGAAACTTCTAGGCAAGAATACTGGAGTGGGTTGCCATTCCCTTCTCCATAGGAGCTTCTTAGAAGTTATTTATTGATAAAAAAAGAAATAGATAAAATAATGTATTAAATATGCAATTCTCTCACGAATATTTCAAACTCCCAACCACCTCTTCAACTATTAGTGCCTATCTACATCACTTCATTCAAATAAAACTCACTCAAGCAAAACTCAAGAGAAAAAAAAAAACTCA